GAGACTACCAGTAGAATATATATATATATATATATATATAGAGAGAGAGAGAGAGAGAGAGAGAGAAATAATTTATTAAAGGTAAATGATTTTAGGGATGTAAGACAGGGCGCACGTAACTGTACGATTAAGTACACATAAGGGCCTCTAGGCTTCTCAAATCTGCAGGGGGTAAGATGTGAGATATAACTGCCTCAAATAGGGTAATCAGTATATTTGAAATTAGCATTGTATAACCAGAAAGGAAGAGAAGCTACCTGCATTATAGCATGCCTAATAAAAGGAATTAATAAGCTACAACGAGCTTAGACTTGTTCCTTTGGATAATCTCTGTAATGGAGAGTCTGTTTGCAGACAGGCACTTTTATTCTCCAGAAGCCGGATATTCTAAAACCTCATCTGATTCAAAATTATCCTTTTCTGAGGATAAATCTACTACGGCATCAGAAACACCACTCGTCTGTATCTCAATCGTCTCTGAAACCTGGGCATCTGCATACAGCGCTTTAGGTGGATTTTTTTTCTCAACAGGAGCATTTAAATCTGACTCTGATGGTGGAATCAGACTTGCAGGTTCACATGTAGGGCAAGGGGCAACTTCTAATGCTGAGTCGTCGACGACAGGAGGGCTTGGTGACGTAGGCGGTTTCTTTGAAGCTGACGATTTAGAAGTACGGTATCTACCGAAAAGACTTGCCAGGACTCCACCGTGTTTGCGATTAGAAGTAGAGTTGTTAGTTGCTGTTTGCCCAAGAGAATTTGAACTGAAGCAAGTCTCACATGAAGAAAGGCTGCCAATTGAATGAGTTTCTGAAGGCTAACGCAAGGATCGTAGGGATAAAATAAGATAAAAATGAGCATCATAAAAGACATTTTGCTTCCATCAGATAAGCAAAAAATGAAAGAAAATACGAATGAGACAGGAAGATAAGTGTTGAAGAGGCAGTTTGATTTATTTGATAGCACTGTGGAGTTAAAATAGGCGTAAGGGTACTGGATGACGATATACGTATTAGAAGTTAATGCAGTACCGATTGCTATATCATTAAGGAACTAAAGAGTAAGCTTGATGCCATGATTAAAGTTCTCTACACAATGTGTCCCTTAATATTAATATAACCCGAATTTTGATGAGAC